ACATAAATGAGCTCCTAGCCTGCCACTGCCTAAAACTGCCCCCATTAACTTTTCTCTAGTCTTACACTACAATGCAATCTCTGTTCCGTGGCCTACAATCCCCACAGGTGGCTGGGCCTGGCTGCTTTCTGTCACTATAATTTCACAACACCCCAGCCATGCTGGCTTTCTCACCCCTTCCTCCAAGTGTCAGGTTCTTGTCCTCCTCAGGACCTTTGCACCTGCTGTTCCCTCTGCTTGCAGTTCTCTTCCTTGGGATCCTGCCATGACTGGGTCCTTCTCATGCTGTAGGTTTGACCTTGGATGTCAGCTCTTCAGCAGGGCCCTCCCTGGTCACCCTGCTTAAAGTGTGCCCCAACATGACCCCCATTACTGTATCCCATGCCATTGTTATGTCCATTGATTCACTATAGTGTCTTTGTTTTTTCTTTTTTATTGAGGTGTAACTCACCTACCTAAAGTATATGGCTTGATTAAGTTTAATGGATGCCCATGTACCTGCGTACCAAGATCTAGAACATTTCCAGCACCCCGCAAGACTTCTTGTGTCCCCTCCCATTCCATACCTCTCAAGGGCAACAACTGACCCGATTTTTATCACCGTGGCGTTGCGTGATTTTGAATTTCAGATGACTGTGAGCATGTGCTCGTTTGAGTATGGTGGTGTAGGCCCCACATTAGCTTTAGTAGGTAGTGCTAAACACTTTTCTCAAAGGGGTTGAACCCATTTCATAATCCCACCAGCTGTGTGTGAGAACTCCAGTTGCTCCACAGACTTGCCAAATTTGATATTGTCTGTCTTGAATTTGAAGCATTCTGGTGGGTGTGTGGTGGTTTCTTATTGTGATGCGTTTTTCAATTCTCTGATGATAAATGATAATCGTAGACATGATTTGGCAAAATCAGATCAATGAGGGGGCGTGTGTGTCTCAGTTGGTTAAGCCTCCGACTCTTGGTTTCGGCTCAGGTTGTGATCTCTGGGTTGTGGGATTGAGCCCCACATCAGGCTCCGTGCTCAGCGGGGAGTCAGCTTGGAATTCTCTCTCTCCCCCCCTCTACCCCTCTCCCCCAAAATAAATGAATCCTTAAAAAATTTCAGGTAAATGAGTTGATGACTAGTGACAGGGTACTTTTTTGCACTATTGACCAGTTGAGCGTCCACTCTTTTGGAGTGGTTGTTTGAGTGTTTTGCCCATTTTTAAATAGGAGTTTTTATCTCTTTTTCTTATTAGAGTTCTTAATATATTCTGGATATGAGTCTTTTGGCTATGTCAGGTGGTTCTATTGGAAATAACCTTTCCTGGTGTGCAGCTTGTCTTTTCATTCTCTTGATGAAACTGTTTGATGAACAAAAGTTCTTAGTTTTGTTTTTGTTTTTTTTAAGATTTTATTTATTTATTTGACAGAGAGAGAGACAGCGAGAGAGGGAACACAAGCAGGGAGAGTGGGAGAGGGAGAAGCAGGCTTCCTGCAGAGCAGGGAGCCCGATGCAGGGCTTGATCCCAGGACCCTGGGATCATGACCTGAGTCGAAGGCAGATGCTTAATGACTGAGCCACCCAGGCGCCCCCAAAAGTTCTTAGTTATAATGAAGATCAATCCATCCATCTTTTGTATGTAGCTTTGTGTGTGTTCTCTTGAGGAAATCTTTCCTCTCCCAAAGCTATGAAGGTATTCTTCTAGGCCTTCTAGAAGCTTGGTTGATAAGTAACTTTTATATGTAACTGTAAATCCATCTTGAGTTAATTGTGTATGACGGTGTGAGGTAAGGGGTCAAGGTTATTTGTCACTTGTGGATCTCCAGTTGACCCAGCTTCCTTTGTTGCAAGACCACCATCCTGTCTCCTCCACTGAATTGCAGTGGAGCCTTCTTTCCCAAATTAGATGTAGATGTGTTATTTGTTTTTGTTTGTTTTAAAAATTCACCAATGACGTCACCTGGACCTGGACTTTTATTTTTTGGAAAGTTTTAAATTATGGATTAAAAATTGTTAAATCATTATAGGACTACTCAAGTTTTTTATTTCTTCTTGTGTCAGTTTTGAAAGGTTGCATTTCCTAGGAATTTGTCCAGTTCGTTTAAGTTTCAAATGCGCTGGTATGGTATTTTTCATAATATCTGCTTACTATCATTTTTTTTTAAGATCTTATTTATTTATTTGACAGAGAAAGACACAGCGAGAGTGGGAACACAAGCAGGGGGAGTGGGAGAGGGAGAAGCAGGCTTCCCGCGGAGCAGGGAGCCCGATGCGGGACTCGATCTCAGGACCCTGGGATCATGACCTGAGTCGAAGGCAGATGCTTAACCAACTGAGCCACCTAGGCTCCCCAAAGACAGGGAGTTTGGTCTGTCTTGTTCACTGCTGTGTCCCGGGCACCTATTAGAGTGTCTGGCACACGGTTGATGCTCAGTATGTGTCTCTTGTAGGAAGGAATGGATGAGGGGTAGATACCCTCACTGTGGATAGGTGGGGTCTCTGTCCCCTCAGGAAGCTCCCTTTACTTTTGCCACTATATCCTCCAGGCTCAGCACAGTGCAGGGCACATGGTGGGGCCTGCTGGGTATGGTGGGAGGAATGGAGGCCTCTCTATGTCCTTCCCCGGCCCTCACTAGGTCTGGCCCCAGGGGTTCGTGGGCTTCGGGCTTAGGTCTGTCTGCCTGTTTGTCTGCAGAGCCGCCCTCCATGCGCCTGAAGGCCCGACCTGGCAGCCCCGGCTTTTCTGTGCTCACCTGCAGTGCTTTCTCCTTCTATCCCCCGGAGCTACAACTGCGATTCCTGCGCAACGGGCTGGCCGCCGGCTCTGGTGAAGGTGACCTTGGCCCTAATGGCGACGGCTCCTTCCACGCCTGGTCTTCGCTGACAGTCAAAAGTGGCGACGAGCATCACTACTGCTGCCTGGTGCAGCACGCGGGGCTGCCGCAGCCCCTCACTGTGGAGCTGGGTGAGGGCCCACCGCGCGGTGGTACTCCTTGTCTCTGGGCGCCTTTCGTCCTTCCACCCCGCTGCTGCCAGTCCTCCCTGAGTCTGACCGCCTTCCCTCTTGCTGCTGCTAGCCTGATCATTCGTTGTCTGCCGCTAGCCGCCGTCACTAAGACTGACCGTGTATTGCTCAGCCACTGCCACTCCTCTGTGAATCAGCCCTTCTACTGCTCTGTGCCGGCCCTGCCTCTCCGAGTCACAATACCACGCACCCTTGCTGCTACGGGTCCCTCGGCCAGTGTGACTGGGACCCATCTTGCTGTGGCTGGCTCTTCTATGCGATGTGGGAGCATTCTGCACAGACCTAGAACATCAGCTGACTGGCGTGCCCTCTGTCCACACCCATTCCCCAAAACCTGATGCTGGGGTCGCTGAGGTTGGGAGGGACTGAGAACCCCCAGGCTCCTGCGCTGACTCAGATGGGCTGGTGGGTCCCCTCAGCATCTCACGTCATTCTCTGGCTGCAGAATCACCAGCCAAATCCTCGGTGCCAGTGGTTGGGATCGTCGTCGGCTTCTTACTGCTCACGGCAGTGGCTGCAGGAGGAGCTCTGCTGTGGAGGAGGATGAGAAAGGGGCTGCCAGGTGTGGAGCTGGAAGAGGGAAAGAACTCAGAGAGAGGGACAGAAACCCCCAAGGAGAGGGAGACACAGACCTGGGGGGGGGCGGATCTAGACGGAAAGAAACAGAGACCCGGGGAGTGGGGAGACTGGAGGGAGGAAACAGAAGCTCGGAGGACAGAAACCTGTGGAGTAGGGCAGAGACTGGGAAAGACAGACAGACAGACACACGTGGGGGAGGGGCAGTCAGGAACCCAGAAGATTTCAGAGATTCTCACGACCCGCCCCCCCTTCCTCTTCCCTCAGCCCCTTGGATGTCTCTCAGTGGGGACGATGAAGGGGCCCTCCTGCCCACTCCTGGTGTGCCCAAGGATGCTGACTCTTAGCATATAAATGCATTCTCAGCTGCCTGATGATCATCCTCCACCCTGGCTACCACCAGCTAATGTAGTCAGGCCCCCTTCATGCTGTGAGACCTCCCGGAATCCTGGTATTTCTGAGCCTCCAGAAAGAGTCCTGGGCCCGATGACCTTCTGGATTTCTCCTGTGGCCTGCCTCAGTTTCCCCTCCTGATGATCATGGCTCTTTCCCACCTCCACATATAAACACGAGTTTGGGCCCGAATCATTGTGTTCTTATCATTTCAACTTTTAGGCGGGGGGGCGGGGGTAGGAGAACACGTGTGTGTGTGTGGGGGGGGGCGGATAAAGAGCCTAAGCCCTGGGCTTCAGATCTCTCTGGAGACTAACATTTGCCAGTTGTGGAATATGCCAATTTTATATACCAAGTCATGTCTTTTCATTCATAAGTTTCACAGATACTTACCAGATGCCTACAAGGTACCTCGCATTTTGAGGAATTCTTGGCTGGAGTCTGACCTGACTCCTTGGGTGGAGCGGAAGAGAAGCATTGTTCCCTCTTTGAGGGAAGGGGTTGTCTCCTCTGGCCCCTTGGTTCCCTTCTTTCTTAAACCATGCTGACAAAGGGAAAGATAAAAATACACCTCCCTGGGCGCATGCCTGGCTCAGTCGGAAGAGCATGCGACTCTTAATCTTGGGGTCGTGAGCTCCAGCTCTACCTTCGGTGTAGAGATTACTTAATAAAATAAATAAAAAAACAAAAACAAAGAAAACCCTCCCAAAAGACCCCAAACCACCTCCCCAGAGGCTTGGGAAACGGAACAGCTGGAGGTGGTCGGTGGTCCGGCGGCAGGGCGCTGCGATGCCTGCCGGGAGTTGTAGTTCTCGGCATCCGAGTCTCTCCGGGGCCGCCCACCCCGCCTGCCCGGGGAAGGGGCGGGCGGAACCTCTGGGGCCGCGCTCTTCTCTGTGGACGTGGCGTGGGGCGCACGCGGCCCTCGCGGAGCTCACCGGCCCCGCCCCTGGGGGGGGGGAGTCCTTATGAGCGGGCCTTATGAGCGCTCATTGGTTGGAGGGCGGGGCCTGGCTGGAGAGCCGCCAAATTGGGCATCTTTCGGTGAACGCAGAGCCGACTGTGTAGAGCGAAGTGAAGCTGGCGAAACTGGTAAAAGGAGGCGAGGGCGGGTGGCTTGCCCAGGGAGGACGGTTCGGGTTCTCTCGGGTCGGGAAATTGGGTCCGGGCTGCAAATAACAACTGGGGGCCTGCATGATTGCTCTCTGGCCACGACCCCGCCCCACACTTTGCGTGGGAAGTGCGCCACGTCTCTCGCTTGCAACCCCCCACCAGCGGCTCTGGGACCGTTCTGGGACTCCCTCAGAAGATTCAGTCCCTACCTCTGGTTTTACCTCTGAGAAAGAACCCCGCCCCCCCATTTTCCCCACCCCCCGGCCTTTCTTGAATCCTAAACTTTGTGGCCAGCCACCATCTCTCTGTCTTGTCTTCAGTCTCTCCATCCCCAGCCCCATTCTCCTGTCCTGTCTCTATTCTTTTTCCTCTGACCCCTGACTCCTAGCCTCCACCGCTCCCTAGGGACTGATGATGTGGCGACCGTCACTTCTGCTGCTGATGTTGCTGCTCAGGCGCGGGGCCCAGGGCAAGCCATCCCCTGACGCAGGCCCTCATGGCCAGGGGAGGGTGCACCAGGCGGCGCCCCTGAGCGAGGCCCCTCATGATGACGCCCACGGGAACTTCCAATACGACCATGAGGCTTTCCTGGGACGGGAAGTGGCCAAGGAATTCGACCAGCTCAGCCCAGAGGAAAGCCGAGCCCGTCTGGGGTAGGAGAGAGATGGAGGGGAGGACTCAGGGTTGTAATTTTAAACAGGGAGGTGAAGGGAGGCCTGAGTGAGAAGGTAATATTTGAGCCATGTGGCTATATGGGAGAATAGCATTCCAGGCAGAGGGAACTGTAAGTGCAAAGGCCCTGAGGCAGGAGCGGGCCTGATATTTGAGGAACGGTGAGGCCTGTGTGGCTGGAACCCAGTGAACGAAGAGAAGAAGGTGGAAGGTAATGGCAGAGATGGAACAAAGAGTTCAGGGCCTGCAGGCCACAGTGAAGATTTCAGCCTTTCTCTGAGGGAGAGGAGAGCCATGGGAGGGCTCTAAGCAGAGGGAGGACGTGAGCTGACTTAGGTTTCATCAGAATCCTTCTGGTTGCCTTCCGGGGAACAGACTATAGGGAGCAAGAAGCAGGGAGCTGGTGAGGAAGCAACTGCAGTTGTCCAGATGGAAGACAGGAGACGATGATGACTAGATCAGGGGGAGAGTGGTGGTGACTGGGTCTGCTTTGGGAGACTGTGCACGAATGGGGTTGGGTGAAGGAGGGAGGGAGGAGGAAAGGCAGTGTGAGAGGCCAATGCATTTGGCATAGCATTGCTGCAACGCCTGGCACTGTTCCAAGTGCTTTACAAGGGTTAATTTATTTAATCCCCACAACCGCGCTGCAGGGTAGGTTCTATTATTTATCCTTCATTTTACTGAGGGGTAAACTGAGGCACAGAGAGGTGTGTGTGTGTGTGTGTGTGTGTGTGTGTGTGTGTGTGTGTTTAAGTGACTTGCCCACGGTCACACAGCCAGCAAGAGGAGGTGGCAGGATTTGAACCTAAAATATCTGGCTTTGGAGCCCACGCTCTTGACAACAGCTTGAACCTCAGGGTAGCGTGTGAGTCCGGGGACTCCAGCTCCAGATCGATCGGAGCAGACACAGCCTGGTGCGGGAGAGGGCGGCGACCTCGGCACGGCCGTGTCGGAGTCGACCCTGGGAACTGGGTTGCGGGGCTTAAGGACGGTGACCGAGAGGAGCGCTCCCTATGGGCTCTGTGAGCAGTTGGGTAAGGATCCAAACCGGTGGCGGGGAGTGGCCGCAGGCGGGGGCCTGGGAGCAGACAGGAGCGGCCCGAGAAAAGGTGCGCGAGGAAGGGCCTTGAGGGGCTTCATAGGCGACGGCACGGTGCAGAAGATCCGGCCAGAGCATGGGGAAGGGACTGATGGAGGCCAAGCCCGCCGGGTTGCGGGTGATGGTTCTAGGGCACAGTTTGGAAAAAGTAGGGGAAAGGGGCGGGACGCAGCATAGGGTGGGGCGAGAGGGAGAGGGGCCTGAAACAGGCCCGCGCAGCCAGGCAGGCGAGGCAGGGGGCGGGTTGGAGGGGATGGCCTGAAGACCCGCCGCGCCTGAAACGGCGAGAGGTCGGGTGTGTGCGTGGCCGTGGCCATCAAGAGGTCAGAGAGAGTCTTGGGATAGGGGACCTGTGGGCGAGGGGCGCTGTGTGACACCGCCTCCCTGCCCCCACCCCAACTCGGACAAACGAGAGATGGGACAAGTGAGGGTCCAGGGGCGCAGTCAGGGTGGAGGGTGTGGCCCTGGGTTGCCGTAGGTCCTTCCCCCAACCAGGGCGTGTGGAGGACCGCGGCGACAGCCGTAGACCCGCTGGGTCTGGATTGAGGGGGCGGAGCCCTGCCCTGGGCGTGGCCTCGGGATTGACAGGTGCCCCCTCGCCCCCGTGCGGGCGGCTCTGGGACCACTTTATCAACCCCGTATGGGGGTGTGTCTCGAGTGGGGGCGTGGTTCCGTGTGAGGGGCGGAGCCTGGACGAAGGCGGGTCTCCGGGGTGGGCGGAGTCCGGGACTGATGTATGCCCCGCCCCGACTCGCAGGCGCATCGTGGACCGCATGGACCGTGCAGGGGATGGGGACGGCTGGGTGTCGCTGGCCGAGCTCCGTGCTTGGATCGCGCACACGCAGCAGCGGCACATACGGGACTCGGTGAGCGCGGCCTGGAACACGTACGACACGGACCGCGACGGGCGTGTGGGTTGGGAGGAGCTGCGCAACGCCACCTATGGCCACTACGCGCCGGGTACGCAGCGAGACCCCGACTCCTGCTCCTCCCGAAACACACACACTGTGACCCTGACCTTTCTGACAGCTTCATCCTGAGAACCGTTAGCCTATGAAACAGAATCCCTAACCTTTGACTTCCAACCCTTGATCAAGTTCTACCCACTTCCAGTACCCCATCACCCCGAAACTCGCGATCCCTGATATCTGGCTTCTCACTCTGGCATCCACGACCTCTGTTACCGTGACTGGGGGATCCTTGACCAGGGACATCTACCTCCCATGCCCTGTCATCCTGACCGTTGATCTCTGACAGAACCCCAAATCCTGGGGCGCCTGGGTGGCTCAGTTGGTTAAGCATCTGCCTTGGCTCAGGTCATGATCCCGGAGCCCTGGGATCGAGTCCCGCAGCGGGCCCCCTGCTCAGCGGGGAGCCTGCTTCTCCCTCTGCTGCGCACCCTGCTTGTGCTCTCTCTCTCTCTCTCTCTCTATCAAATGAATAAAATCTTAAAAAAAAAAAAAAAGAACCTCAAATCTATTTACCCCATCCCCTGACTGCTTTCCCTCCTGTCTGTCCCCATGCTCCAGCCCTTCGATCTCCACAGCTCTTGCTCTCTCCCTCCTGGACCCTTCCTCCACACTCCTCCTCCAGCCTGTCCCTCATATAGCCCCAGAGGGGTCTTTCCACACCCAGAGTTGACCCTGATCCTCCCCTGCTCACAGCCCTTCATGGCTCCCCAGGGTCTCCAGAGGAGACTCCCAGCTCCTCAGCCCCGCCTGGCCCACCCCTCTGGCTTTGTTTTTCTGCATTTTCTGACCAGTCACATGGGTCTTCTGTAGTTTCCCTGAACTCAGGAGCCCTTCAAACCTCCACATTCCGCTCATACCCTTTCCTTTGTTGAAAACGCCCTTCTCTTCTCTGTCCTATAACCTGAGTCAGTAGAACTTATTGCACCAGAGGGGGGCCTTGGGGCCCAAAGGGCCAGTGTCCACTCAAAGTTCATCATTCCTGGCTACGTGACTTTGGGCTGGTTATTTCCTCTCTGTGGGAATCTGTTTTCTCCTTCATAAAATGAGAAGAAATGAAAAAACTCTCTTGACTTGCTTTTCTGTGAGAATTAAATGCAATCTTGTAAGTAAAGAGCTTCGCATATAATAAGCTCTCCCGACAAGGTTGCTAATATATACAAACAATGAATTATACTAATTATTGCCAGTTCTGTGGAGGCCTTCTTGCCCTGACTCCACTGAGCTGGATCCTTTCTTTTCCCTCAACCTGCCCTGCGTTCCCTCCGTTAAAGCACAGCTGAACGAGATTCCCGCCCCCCTTCCCCAGGTGAAGAATTTCACGATGTGGAGGACGCCGAGACCTACAAGAAGATGCTGGCTCGGGATGAGCGGCGTTTCCGGGTGGCGGACCAGGACGGGGACTCGATGGCCACTCGGGAGGAGCTGACAGCCTTCTTGCACCCCGAAGAGTTCCCTCACATGCGGGACATCGTGATTGCCGTGAGTTCAGGCCCGAGGAGCCTTCTCCACTTCCCATCCCCCCTCCTGGGACCCAGGGTTCTGATGTCAGGGCCAGCCTTCCAGTGCTTACCTTGGGGGATCCAGTCACCTGGTCTTCTAGCACCTTCCCCAGGGAACCCAGCCCGCAAACAGATCAGTGGAGGGCAACCTCTCTGCTGCCCGACACCAGACCTCCCAGTGTCTGATCTCTCCTGGTCCTGCCTTCCCCTTCATGTGCTCACATTTGGAGTCTGGGCCCTCAGCCTGAAACTCACACATTCCCCAGAAGTGCCTCGGGGAGCCCCATTCCTGGCCGAACCCCAGGAAAACCCCAACCCCATACATGGAGTATCTACCCTGAGGCCACTTCCGCTGGCCCATCTTCTTCCTATTCCTTTATAATTTTTGTGCCATTTCCAATTCCTTCTCCATTTTATAGTGGAAGGATTTTTTTGTTTGTTTTGAGAGAGACAGAGAGAGAGAGAGAGAGAGAGAGAGAGAGAGAGAGATCGTGAGGGGGGAGGGGCAGAGGGAGAGGGAGAGAGAATCTTTTTTTTTTTTAAGATTTTATTTATTTATTTGACAGAGACCCAGCGACAGAGGGAACACAAGCAGGGGGAGGAGGAAAGAGAGAAACAGTCTTCCCACGGAGCAGGGAGCACGATGCGAGTCTCGATCCCAGGACCCTGGGATCATGACCTGAGCCGAAGGCAGACCCTTAACGACTGAGCCACCCAGGCGCCCCAGGGAGAGAGAATCTTAAGCAGACTCCATGCTGAGTGTGGAGCCTGACTCGGGGCTCAATCTCATGGCCCTGAGATCGTGACCTGAGCCAAAATAAGGACTTGGCCACTTAACCGACTGAACCGCCCAGGTGCCCCAATAGTGGAAGGGCTTTTTTCCCTTCTTTTTTTCCCCAACAGACCTTAATTTTTATTTTTATTTTATTTTTTAAAGATTTCATTTATTTAGAGAGAGAGTGCGAGCAAGGGGAGGGACAGAGGGAGAGAGAGAACCTCAAGCAGATCCACACTAAGCATGGAGCCCCATGCAGGGCTTGATCCCACAACCCTGAGACCATGACCCAAGTGGAAACCAAGAGCCGGATGCCCAACTGACTGAGCCACCCAGGCATTTTTATTTTTGTTTATTTATTTATTTAAATATTTATTTATTTGAGAGAGAGAGAGAGATAAAGAGCACACACAGAGGGAGAGGGAGAAGCAGACTCCCCACTGAGCAGGGAGCCCAATGTGGGGCTCAGGGGCTTTATCCCAGGACCCTGGGATCATGTCCCAAGCTGAAGGCAGATGCTTAACTGACTGAACCACCCAGGTGCCCAAGATTTTATTTTTAAGTGATCTCCAGACCCAATATGGGGCTCAAACCCACAACCCCAAGATCAAGAGTCACATGCTCCACCAACTGAGCCAGCCAGATGCCCCAGACCTTAATTTTTAGAGCAGGTTTAGGCTCACAGCCATATTGAGCAAAAGGTCCACAGATTTCCCACATCCCCCTTGCCCCCACACTCACACAGCCTCCCTCACATCAACATCCTGCCCCGGAGTGGGACACTTGTTACAATGGATGGACCTAGACTGACACATCACCATCCAAAGTCCACAGTTCACATGAGGGTTCACTCTTCGTGGGAGGATTTATACCCCTTTCTACCATGCCTAACTTTTCACTAATTATTGTTATTTTAAATTTCATTTATTTATTTGTCAGCTCACAAGCAGAGGGAGTGGCAGGCAGAGAGAGAGGGAGAAGCAAGCTTCCCACTGAACGGGAAGCCCGATGTGGGGCTTGATCCGTGACCTGAGCTGAAGACACACACTTACCCAACTGAGCCACCCAGGCATCCCCACAAATTATTTTTTTAAATGTAGTTGTATGTCTAAAATAGCTAACATACTGATGTGTTGAAATGCCCAAAGGATGCAAAAAAAGTGGATAGTCCTCTGCCTTCCTCATCTCCTCGACCTTATTCCCCAACCCCTCTCGTGTAGCTCCATTTCCAGAGCTGGTTTGAGGGTCTATGGCAAGCCTGTTAGGATCAAGGGCTCTGAGGCCAGAAGGCCTGGGTTCAAATCCCCAGCCTGGCAGCTTCCTGGCTGTGTGACCTTGGGCAAATTACTTAACCTCTCTGGACCTGTTCCTCATCTATAAAATGGTAGTACTGATAACTGTTCCTACATCAAGGCTGGTTATAGGGACTAGATGAGTTAATACATGTAAAACTGCAGAACTGGTGATAAATGCTCATGATATCACATTACATGCACGCGTCAATATAGCTACACCACTTCCAGTGGTAGGATCCCTGGTCCCACTAGGATATGCATTTGCAGTTGTTTTAGATTATTTCTCAGGCATTTTACTGACTTGATGTGTGCACCGTTGAGGTGGGGCGTCCAGCCCATTCTAGAGATGACTATGATCTGGAGAGGAGAGATGTCATTAAGCCAACCTTCTCGAACCCACTAGACTCCCCATCCTCCAAGGCCCAACGTCCCTCTTTTATAGCGAATAATGTCGTTATACCTTTTACTCTCCTGAGTTGAGGTGGGTTTTTTTTTTTTTAAGATTTTATTTTTTAAGTAATCTCTACATCCAGCGTGGGGCTCGAACTTGCAACCCTGAGATCAAGAGTCGTAGGCTCTACTGACTGAGCCAGCCAGGGGCCCCCTGAGTTGAGATTATTTAACAAACCCTGACTGAGTGTGTCCTGTGTACCAGGGGCACCGTGGTAACACCTTTACCTAAGTATTAGCTTGATTGGATCATCATGGTGACCCTATGGGGGTGGGCTATCATCTTCATTTTATTTTATTATTATTTTTTAAAGATTTTATTTATTTGAGGGGCCCGTGGGTGGCTCAGCTGGTTGGGCGTCTGCTTTCGGCTCGGGTCATGATTCCAGGATCCTGGGACTGAGTCACGCGCTGGGTTCCTTGCTCAGTGGGGAGTCTGCTTCTCCTTCTCCCTGTGCTGCTTCCTCTGCTTGGGTGCACTCTCTCTCTCTGACCAATAAATAAATAAAAATCTTTTTTAAAAAAAGATTTTATTTATTTGAGAGAGAGCGCATGAGCAGGGGGAGGGGCAGAGGGAGAAGCAGACTCCCCGCTGAACAGGGAACCCAATGTGGGGCTCAGTCCCAGGACCCTGGGATCATTACTTGAGTCGAAGGCAGTTGCTTAACATGCTGAGCCACCCAGGAGCCCTATCACCTTCATTTTATAGATGAGGACACCCACGCACAGAGAGGTGAGGGGACTTGCCTGAGATCACCCAGACCAGAAGTGGCCCAGCCCGGATTTGAACCCTGGCAGTTGAATCCATGGTCCACACCAGGGGTCAGCAAACTGTCTAACCTGCAGCCAAATCCAGCCCACAGCTTGTTTTTGCAAATAAAGTTTTATTGCAACACAGCACACCCCTAGGCTTCCATGTGCCACAATAAGAGAGAGTTCTATCAGTTCAACAGAAACTGTACGTCACTCAAAGCCAGAACTATTTCCTCTCTGGCCCTTTATGGAAAGAGTTTGCAGAGCCCTTGTCTAAACTCTCCTGTCGGGGCACCTGGGTGGCTCAGTTGGTTGAGCGACTGCCTTCGGCTCAGGTCATGATCTCGGGGTCCTGGGATCGAGCCCCGCATCGGGCTCCCTGCTCAGCGGGAAGCCTGCTTCTCCCTCTCCCGCTCCCCCTGCTTGTGTTCCCCCTCTCACTGTCTCTCTCTCTATGTCAAATAAATAAAATCTTAAAAAAAATAAATAAACTCTCCTGTCATCTTTCATATTCATGGATATCGAGTGTAACTCCCCTGACACAGGATTTCAAACCATTACTGTTAGCCCCAACTATACTATAGAAAGGGGAAACTATGGGGCGCCTGGGTGGCTCAGTCAGTTAAGCATCTGCCTGCAGCTCAGGTCATGATCTCAGGGTCCTGGGATCGAGCCCTGCATTGGGCTCCCTGCTCCGCGGGAAGCCTGCTTCTCCCTCTCCCACTCCCCCTGCTTGTGTTCACTCTCTTGCTGTGTCTCTCTCTGTCAAATAAATAAATAAAATCTTAAAAAAAAGGGGGGGGAACTAAAGGAAATTCACTTATAGGGGGCATCTGGCTGGCTTAATCAGTAGAGCATGTGACTCCTCATCTCAGAGTTGTAAGTTCAAGCCGCACATTGGGCATGGAGGCTAATGAAAAAAAAAATAATGGAAAGTCACTTATAAGAAATAACAAGAATTTTAATATAAGTGCTGTAGAGTTACCAGGTTTAGTAAATAACAAAGGGCATTCAATTATACTTGAATTTATAACAAATAATATAGACAAATAAAAATTTTTTTAGCATAAGTATGTCCCACACAATATTTGGGACATACTTATGCTTAAAAATTATCTGAAATTCAAATGTAACTGTGTCCTGTAGTATAAGTATGTTCCAAATATTGTGTGGGACATCCTTATACTAAAGAATTATCAGTTGTTCATCTGAAAGTTGAATGTAAGTGAGCATCCTGTATTTTTTCTGGCAACCCTTAAATGTTGGAGCTTTCTTTGTGAAGAAGGCATAGTGCACTCTCAGACCCTACACCATACTACAGTGAGTGAATTTGAATATAAAAGTGGGGAATGGGGACGCCTGGGTGGTTAAGCCAGTTGGTTAAGCATCTGACTCTTGATTTCGGCTCAGGTCAAGATCTCAAGGTCATGAGATTGAGCCCCACCTTGGGCTCCACACTCAGTGGGGAGTCTGCTTCCCCTCTCCCTCTGTCCTCACTCCCCCCCAATAATATATAAATAAATCTTTTTTTTTAAAGATTTTATTTATTTGACAGAGAGACAGCAAGAGAGGGAACACAAGCAGGGGGAGTGGGAGAGGGAGAAGCAGGCCTCCCGCCAAGCAGGGAGCCCGACGCGGGGTTCGATCCCAGGACCCCGAGATCATGACCTGAGCCAAAGGCAGCCGCTTAACCAACTGAGCCACCCAGGCGCCCCTATAAATAAATCTTTAAAAAAGTGGGGAACAGAAGCTGTTTGCTCAAGAAGTGGGGAGAAAACCAAGAGCAGAGGTACTGAGCGTGTGTCACAATGGTCCACCAAGTATGTCATGCTCATACTTAAAATGGAGCTAGGATCTAGGCTCTGCTACATGGGAAGACACTTCAGCCTTGGAGAGTGTGTGCTATTGGGTGTGAGGAAAGTGTGAGGGATGCAGGACAGGTCTCCTTGGGTGGAAGCAACCTGTGCATCACAGGATATCTGGGTTCCCTGGCCCCCATGCACCAAGGGCAGGTAGGACCTGCATCATGATGTGCTCCAGAAAGCCACCCAACCCCAACCCCCCACCCCTACCTGTTGTAGACCCCATTGAGACTGCTCTGATGCCTGGCCATACAGCCAAGCCCAAGCCCAATTCCCTAAGAGAACCTCACATCCCAACCCCAGGGGGCCAGCCCTCCTCGGGAGCCAGCCCCAATGCCTCTCTTTCCCCCAGGAAACCCTGGAGGATCTGGACAAGAACAAAGATGGCTATGTCCAAGTGGATGAGTACATCGGTGAGTGGGACCTGATCCCCTTCCTGAGGACGCCTGTCCTCCCCCAAGCAGCCCAATGCATATCACCCATAGGAGAGCAACGGCAAGCAGC